AGAGAGAGAGAGAGAGAGAGAGAGAGAGAGAGAGAGAGAGAGAGAGAGAGAGAGAGAGAAATTGCGGCGCCGTGTTCCGTTGAGACGTACTTACATCCGAGAGTGAAAAATCTTTTAAGCGAGCAGCAGGCTGGGCTAATTTTCCGCGTCATGCTTGAAACATGGTGCAGCGGCGGTTACATTATTAATTCCGGCGCGGCGTTACATACAACACGCAACGCGCTCCGTGCTGCTTCCCCAGTTAGATTCGAGAACGGCAACTCTCTCCGCGTGCTCGGCCGCGCGCTTCAGGTTACATCACGGCACATAACGTAAAAGCCATGTTTGTGATTTAGGTTAACGGTATCGAATGCGGTAATTATTCAACTAAAGCCAGCGGCCTCTGAGAATTCCGCCTGGCTGTGCGCAAACGACACGTATACGATAGAGCGCGAAATGACGCCGAATAGTCGCGCTGTTACATTTTATTCCGCATCGGTGACTCCGCGAGATTGTTCGTGCCATGCTAGGTGTTACCGAGCAAAAAAAAATAATTTTTTAAATAATCCTCTATAACTCCCCGACGCGTAACCGCGCGTTGCGCTCTAAAGAACTTTTTCAGCTAAAGCGATTTCCACGCGATGAAATTGCACGACTGGCGGAAAGAAAAAAATTGGCGGCGGGTAACACGTAACGCGAGATAATAAACATTCTTCTTTTTTTTAAACATACTTTGAAATTTTACACATTACGCGATATCTGTAAGATCTTACCCAACTTTGTCTCCTTACGATTCGATATCAAGTGGTGATACAAAGTGGTCCGGTACTTCGCTGCAATATCTTTTGAGTTATTACGTCTCAAATTAAATTTCAAACTTTGGGTTCCGTTAAATCCGGAAATAAATTCAGTTCTCCAATTGTTCCTTGCGGTCTCTTTCAAAATTCAGACAGATTGGCGCGGAAAACTGCGGTCGAGATATGCGTATTGCATTCGGGCGCAGAACAGTCTTTCGCGATACTCTTATGTCATAATCATGAGCAGAAGTAACAATTCGAGGGTAATCCGAACTTTTGCCGGCGTATAATCCCACGGTCGACGCTACTTTCTTTTATTGAGAATTGAAAAGTTTACGAAGTACAACGAACTCGCCGTTTCGATATAAGAGTTCGACGGCGGAATAACTGCGCGTATTTGAGAGTTCCAAGCGACTCGCATGCCTGTTATCAAATTCTAAAGTCGTTCGTGCCGAATTGTCTAGTTCGTGCCAAATTGTCTCGCTCATGCGGCGATATTGCGCGGCCTCTTTTTAAGTCTGTCGACATAATTTCAATTTTTTATGTACTTAGTGCTTCGCGAGTGAAATTGGGGTATATATCTGGCTGTTAAATGCTTCGTTGCATCATACTAAAAAGGCACACCGGAATATACGGTAGCCTGCTGCAACTTTTTATTTTTACGGGCAAAATATTATGTACTAAAATAGATAGATCAATAATGGACGGTGGTTGATGAAGAAGAGGAAATTTCTTCTTCGCGTATTTATCATATTTTCCGTGATGCCTTAATGCATAAGTCGCCTCGTGGTGCGTCATTTTCACGACAGTGAGAACTTCAAGACTTGATGAGGACGACTTATCGAGACGCAATCGAGCCCGAGAGGAAAGCACGCGGCCGTAAACTTTTCCCTCGGTACTTCGGTGAGACTGAGAACGACAGAGGGGAGAGGGCTGTAATATATCCTCATTATTGGGCCTGCGATTCGCGCGGGTCACAGCACCATTTGGGGGTTCGCCAGTGGTTCTTCTTAAGAGGTCGCAATATATTTCTTGAAATTTTAAAATATCCCGAGGAAGATACGCATTTTCATGCGCTGTACAAGAAACGGAAATTTAAAATGACATCATATAATAAATTAAAATAAATTATGATAAATAAGAGCTTTCTTCCTCTCGAATGTAACGACGGTTTTTTACTGTTATTTGCATTCGTCGCCTGTAGAAAACAGGTTTGTCTTAACTGAAAATAGCCAATTTTATTTTTAGCCTAGTTTACAGCTAAATCAACACTATATTAGAACTTTGGTTCTTTTTCCTCCAATATTAAGTTATACAAGATGACTGGATTTAGGTATCCGACCGCTCGTGCAGGTAAAACTCGTTAAACTGAATGGGAAACTCCTTTACCATTTTTTAAATCACGAGTGTAATTATCGAGTTACTCGAACAACTAAATCCAGACATCTTATATATGCGTAGATCAGAGTAAAGTTATCATTGTTGGCATTTTGCTTTTTTTTTAAACTAGAACAATACATGCGCACGCTACGCGTGCGCCATATAGCTAATAAAAAACAATAAAAAATGTAAAATAAAAATAAAATAAAAATTAAATTAAAATACACTTTAATTAATTAATAATTATAGGGAGACACAGGGAGAGGCAGGAAGAGACAGGGAGAAACAGAGAGAGAGAGGGAGAGACAGGGAGAGACAGGGAGAGATAGGGAGAGACAGGGAGAAACAGAGAGAGACAGGAGAGGCAGGAGAGACAGGGAAAGACAGGGAGAGACAGAGAGAGACATATCTCTTCTGTATTTTTTTTTCGTGACCTAAACAACGCGATGACAGCTATTTGCCTGGTAATTTGACAGGCGCAAACGACACGAAGCAAGCCGCAGCCCACATGAAGTGAGCTAAACGAGAGAACCAATCAGCATCGTGGAAAAGTGGCAACAATTAAATCTCTTACATGCCTTCTTTTAGAGAGGATCACACTTCCGTGAAAAATATAAGACTAATGCTTCGTGTTACAAATTCAAACCCATTGGTTTTTAACATAGACCAATATCCACTTTAATGGAAGACTCTGATGTCTTTCATACACGTATGATTCTTAGTTTCCACAAAAGAACGATTTTACGTTTATCGGAAACACGATAATTTTCCTTTTTTAATGATTTTTGTTACAGGCTCCTACGACGTCTACAAATGAACTTGTTTACATCGACTTGGCCGACATTATTACGGTGAGTCAATGCCCTTTGTTTACGCGTGGATATTTCGTACGAATGTAATGGTACGCAGCGACCTCGACGACAACCTTGCCTCTTCTCATAGTATAGACAAGTATTGCCATTTACGCGGTCTCTCCACTTCAGTCAGAGAGAAAAGTGCAACATGAAAAGAAACATAATGTGCCATAGAGAAAGCGAGTGCCATCACTAACGCGAGAGTCGAGCTGTAACCTAATGTTGATAACGTGGCTTTAAACAGCTATAGTTCGCGAATTAGTCGACGTAGCAACATGAAACAAAAAGCAATCTCTTTGCCACACGTTCTTGCACGTATCTGTATTGTTCTCTCATTGTCTACGTGGAAGACTTGAACATCGTGATCGAATAAAGCACGGCAAACATACTGACGCGTGCAATCTCTTTCATTTACGATCGAATTGTTCAGATTCCTTTCTTTATCTTGTTTATTATATGTTTATAACATAAGACGAGATTAATATTATTATTATGGATCAAAGTAAAGAGACAATTATCATGATCATACAATCTCATTTGGTATGATTATAATGTTGATAAATTTGTAATAGAGATGGAAGCGCTTTTTCTCTTTTAATATATCTAATAGATAATCTATCTTCATAATAAAGAAGATTAAATATAGAACGTATTGGGAGAAATAAATTTAAAGAAAGCTTAGGAATAATATATATTGGGTAGAAAAATATCACTGATTTAATTAATAAACGATACCAAATATATTTTTAGCCGGTAAGCTCGAAAGCTAGGAAATTATTTGAAGCAACAGGAATTAACGATTGAAGTTAATATTTTTATCTTAATATTTTCTGAAATACTCAAAATAAAAGAAGATCTCAAAGCTATAAGTACCAGGTATAAGTGTGCAACGTTTATACTCCCGGCTGCCGCGTATGAATTCGTGTTCTACACGAAAGAAGAAATTCTAGTTCGAGTAACTGAATATAGAAACCAGAACAAAACTTGCCGATGAAAAATAATATCTCTGTTATTGTGAACGAAAATATTTGTAATACTTGGCTACATACTTGGCTAAATACTTGGCTACATCAAAACTTGGTTGAGATAACTGAAAGAAATTGGCTGAATAGAACTCTTTCGTACAGCAATCTTCTTGTTCCCACAACCGAGTCTTTTATCTGGTCTCCACAAATAACAGGAAATTCAGTTACACTAACGGAGTTGTTTTTCCCGTGCGGCATAAATACGAACATAGAAATGCGCGCGTGCACAGACGTTCGCTCTTCTGATATTTAAATGTTAATAAGATTCGTCGGGAAAGTTCGGCTGAGCCACCCCAGCCCCGTAGTTTCGATCAGTGAAAAAGCGCTCAGATTGCGGTCTGTCAACGACGGCGGAAGGGTGTCCCGCGGCAGCTAAGAGATTCCGCCGATGCGGAATCCGGGATCATTATACGGGGCGCTAGGCACGCGGGCGCGAATTCCGCATAAATAATCCAGCACTTCCGGAATTCGGCGGGACATAAATCATGCAAATGAACCGTTCGGCGTGATAAATATTGCGTCCTTGTAATCCGCTCGTTCCTCCCTCGCCGCACGATTGATTACTAGCAGATAAATCCAGGCCGCACATTAAGCCGGAACCACACCGGTGCGGTGCGGTGGTGGTGACGGCGGCGACGGCGACAGCGACGGCGGCGGCGGCGGCGGCGGCGGTGGCGGTGGCGGTGGTGGTGGTGGTACCGCGGCCTCGGCAGTGGAGCTCGTGGCGGACTTTGCGCGAGTAATAAAAGCGTTGGGGTCTTAGAGCGGGAGAGAACGACGGCGAGCGCTTTTTCAAACTTCCCCGCTCATCTATCTGAAGCTGGAAAGTTGCCGCGCAAACGACGGTGCTACGACGATTTTGCGACTACCCCATCCACCACCCCGTCGCCGTCGCGCCATTCTGCGGCCCGACTCCTCCGCCTGTTACCTCTATCTATCTAACTCGGGTGCGCATATCAGACGTGATGACTTCGAAAGAAAACTCCACGTGGAGAGAGAGAGAGAGAGAGAGAGAGAGAGAGAAAGAGAAAAAGGGGGGAGAAAAAAAAGGAAAGATTTCGTCTTCCTTCCGCGATATCTCGCGCAAAGCCGGCTAAGCGAGACAGGGAAGCCGACGCGACCGCGGGTAAAACCACGGGCTGATGCTCGTTCGTCGAGCTACGTCGCGGAGTCTGGCGCCGTTGGATCCATCATCCCGTCTCCGATCGAGCAAAGATTCTTATCGTGTTCAACGGCGAATCGCGATAATTGTATTATTTCCTTCGATCCGTTTGCAATTTGCGCGACTCGTTCCGTCGACGTTTCTGCGATCGTTACGATATAATCCCTTCGTTCCGATTTCACGCAGTAGTAGGTGAGTAGCGGGGGTAGTAGCTTGGCAGTTTCACTTCCAAGTTTTTTAAGCGAAGATCGAGTGGCCTAAAGGATAATGCACGCTGTGTGCAGTTTACCGGGAAAAGGAAGCAAAATTCAGCCGTCGCGGTCAAACGGAGAAATTTGGTTGAAATACAAAATCCCGAGCGTATACGTGAAATTTCATTCGATTTCGCTAATAAATTGGCGCAGAGAGTATTTCAAAATCACCTTAAGCGACCGGAACTCAATCCGCAATTGTGCGGTATCAGTTACGTTGATAACAGTTTGTAACTTACAATTATATACAATCGCATTGCGTCATAACACCATTCAACCGTCTGCACAACAACCGAGAGCAGGTGGTGCGTTTGTGTTGCGAGAGAGATGAAAATTCTGGCTGCCAGGCATATTACAAAGTGGAGAGGAGAATAATAACGTATTAGCGCGAGAACCCCTGTGGCTCTTGCAAAAAGTAAAAGTGCAAGCAATGTTTCAGTTCGCCATTATTATTGCGGCGGAACAACACTTTTGCATTGACGTTCTATTTTTAACATACGAGAAACGAATTCGAATCCAAATATTCTCTTGGAGCATTATCCTCCATCGAGAATCGATTCTCTGGTTAGTTCTAAAATTTGCCTCGAAACTGTGGAACTTGGAAATTATTTTACACGCGCGCGGATTCGCACTACTCGAGGAAGCGCCAACAAAAACGCGGCCGAATTAGCGAATTAATTCTTATTTTCGGGATTCCAAAGCTTCTTTAAGTTTCCTACGACGGCATTTGAATTCAGTTAAACTTCGCATCTCGTCTTAGGATACGTAATCCTATTTAGCCCGCCGCAACTAGACATAGCTAGATTAGATTCAATTTAGACAATCTCTGATTATCGACGTTAGACTACCAACAAATTTGCATCTACTTCTAGCTTCTTGAGACTCCGATTAGTCATGTATAAGTGCTCATCATAATTAACTCTCTTCCTCGTCTCCCTCGCGCGGAATGTTAACAAAGTATAAAAATTCTCGATCTTACTTAAAAGCACAGCAAATATCTGGCGGATAAAATCCGGGATTAATCCTCGAGAGCGTGGGGGTCGCACATACCGTTGTAATAATAATTCAAATAGCACGTGTTTCATTCTTTTTTGTCTTACGTAGTGGATATCTGTTAAATCATTTATAAGATTCGTATTCAATGTGCATGATGAAATCGGAGCATTTCCATTTGATGAAAACTCCTTGGCTTTCATGGCGCGATTTATTACATCACGTCTACACGCGCGTGTTACAATTGTTATTCCGGCGGATTTATTCCTCTCCGTTTTACATGTCACGGTCGTAAAGCGCGGCCGTTAAATGTTACTCGTGTTTCGTTGCGGCGGGATCGGATTAAGGAAACCGGCCGCGACTTGAAATACAAGCGAAACTTGATCCACTTTAACGATATTTCACGTAGCCGAAATAACTAATTTGAATATATGGAGTGTAACGCGGATGGACCCGCGTCTAGCCGTACGTTATTACTTTCGTATCAGGCGGGGAACAGCCGCGCGAAAGAGAGAGGGCTATGTCGGGCGAAATCGGTGGGATTAACCGCGCCGCACGATTGTTCAAACCGGGGCCCGTTACCGGGCGGTGTTCTTATTGCGATGAGTCCATTGTGCCAAGTGGATGCCGCGAATTCCGTTTGAATTCGCGAAACGGCCAGATTATAATGGTCTCACGGCGGTGTATCCATATACATGACGACGCGCGCCATCGGCCACGAGACATGATGAATCGTGCCTTTATCACCGCCGCGTTCCCTTTACAAGCTCCCCGAGCGCGTGTCAATAATAGCCTTTATTCGCAATTTACCCAGTTACTCTTATAATTTCCTCATTTCCATTTCACGGAGATGGTCGCTCCTTTCGCTAAGAAGCTCCTGAGTACCTCGCTCGCGGACATTAATATTCAACGGTTTCAGTTATGAAAGTAAAGTGAAAAAGTAACGTCCCCTTGTCCCCTCGCGCGGTTTCCCACTGCCGGCCGTTCTCTTCTTCCCCCGGTGTTCCTCTCGCCGGGTTCTCTCTCTCCCCCCACTCACCGACTCGACGGCACATAGTGGAACGGCATATTTAAGTCAATTATACTATTTAGCATTGTACTCGGATAATAGCGTCAGTTAACTCAATTATATCGTTAAGAGAGATTCAGCGATGCGCCGCACGTCCCGATGAGAAAGAGAGAGACAGCAGACGAGAGAAGACACCCGCGAAGCACGCCGTGTGAGACGCGCCCTACGGAGGAAAAGTATACGCGTCACGTCTGGTAAATGCTTACAGTCCGTACGATATCAGTGCGCAATTGGCTCGATGCACGCAACGCGAATTGGCAAGGGAGCGAGGGAACGAGGGTTATAACCGAAAAATCCACCTCGCATGCACGTGCGTTCGGCCTGATTCGATTATCGTAATGCTCGCGTTGCATCGCGGGTTGCTCGTCGTTCCAGCGAAATTACAGGTGCGTCGACGTACTTCCCCGGGAAATTTGTGCGTTCTCTTCTTCTTCTCGTTATTTCAGCGCGGGAGCGTTTCGTAGTCGGCTCTTTTCATTTCTCCGTCTCTCGTCTTC